TTTGTTTGGAGTCAGTCAAGTTTGGTTTGGAAATCAAGTGTCTTCTTATATTGTAAGTGCTAAGTTTGAGAGTATTGAAGTTTATTGAAGTTTTTAGTTCTGTTCTATTTTTCTATCCGGCTAAAATTTCTTTGTGATCCCCAAGCCGGCGATCCCCCGTTTCCGCCCCTTTTTGGTATCAGAGCTATGTTGGGGTAAACATTTAAAGTATTTTAAGGGATCCTAGTAAGAATTTTGATGAGTTGAGTTGCCGAGCTCTCTCATGTTATTTAGCTATCTTTTATATCTTTTGACCTATTATTTTGATAAATAGATTGAATTTTTCAGAAAAATTTTTCTGAGTCTGGTTTCCTTTTTTTTTTATTATTTTTATATTATTTTAGATTAAGAAGCTGCTGCCTAGTATTATCAGTTAGTAGTCCTGAGTGCCTCAAAGAGATCTCCGAGAACAGTAGGAGCACCGAGGAATTGTAAGGACGAAAAGGATATACTAAGTTTGTTCAGGAACTTAATTTAAGATTTTATAAATTTAATAATAATATTATGAACTTCAGATTTATATAAATTCTTCTGGAATCTTTATATCCGTTTGATTAATCATATGGTCAAGAAATATAAGGATGATAGTTTAAGGCATGGAAAAGCCAAGCAAAACAATTTATCAATTTTCTGAAAGGTGAACTTAGAATACTTATCTTTTATTAATTTGAGTCCCAACTATTGCTCTGTATATGAATGATTGGAAGCTTTCATCAGCATCCACTGATTATAAATCAGCTTTAATAGCTACTGATTCTCTGGAGCCTCCTGCGTTAGGATTTGTCAATCCTTCAGACGCCAGACAAAATACTTCTTCTGCTTTAGTTGCTATAATAAAGCAGAATAATACACTATTGCAGTTATTATTAAGGGTTTCAGATAAGCTTATTACAATTGAAGACAAGATAAAGCAAATTCAACAGAAAGAACCTGAAAAATCTGTTGAAGACTCTATATCTGCTCTTCAAAAACAACTTGAAACTCTTTCTCTTGGAAGTCCATCTAAACCAGTTAAACCCTTTAGACCAAAAGGCCAGTTATTTGTTTTTCAAAATCCTAAAACTATATTCCTCAAGGAAAAACAAAAATCTACATGATGGCCTCCACATCTAGAAATAATTCTTTTCGTACAACTACCTCTCTTCTACCTGTTCCAAATGTACGAAACTCTGTTCCTACAAATACTTCCAATCTTGATGATCAAATCCGTGATTATCGTATGAGATCACGAATAGCATATGAAATCCAGAGAAGGTTGCCTCGAAAGAAATCATATAATAGGACTCTGGAAAGTCAAATAGATCCAGAGCAACAATTAGAAATTTCACAAAGAAAGCGTGCCAATTTAGTGCCTGCTGAAACTTTATATGAAGACGGATGGTCTTCAACGAGGCATAGAGTGTATCAACATTATTCTGAGGAAAGAATACTTGCTGTTGAAAATATTCAAATAAACCTGCCGTTCATAAGGCAAGAATCATATCAGAAATTAATCCAAGAAGGCATGCAACATATTCATCTTGGATTAATAATGATTCGAATTCATACTCTGCATAGACGAGATGCAGGTACAACTGCTTTAATTGTGCTCAGGGATACTAGATGGAGATCCGATGTTTCAATCATTGGAACAATAGAAGTTGATCTGTCTAAAGGTACACAGCTCGTATACATAACTCCTGATATGTTACTATCAATACATGATTTTCTTAATCATATAGAGCTTGTCGTGTTAACTCATGGGTATGATGACTGGCAAGGAGGAGAGTCTAATCTTCTCATAACCAGGGCTCTAGTAGCAAGACTTACAAATACCAGTCATGCTGGTTTTCGTTACAATGTTAATGGGATTGCAGATTATTTGGCAACTCATGGAGTTATTGCAATACCGGGACAAAAACATTCTATACTTCAATTAAAAGGTTTAGATTGAAATCTAAAACTTTCTGAAAATATTGGAGTTCAAGTCCCACGAAGTTTGGTCACTAGACAGAGAATTGATGGTTCCATTCGTCTATCCTTTTCCGATTATACAACTATATCTCCACCTCCAGTTCCTGAATACTCAAAGCAAGATATTGAAGGATCAGAGGATGAAGCTATTTATATGGCATTCGAAAACGATTTTTCATGGGATTCTGAGGAAGATGAAAAGTTTAATTCAAGAAATTCTCAAAAATCCTTATGGGAAAGATATCAAAATGGTGATCCTACAGTTGCTCCACTAGGACATCCAAGCGGGAAATATGATTATCTTGTGGAATATTCTATGCGTGTGGATAACACCCCAATTATACCTACTGGATGGGGCGATGAAGATGATATCGATGATGAATGCACTACAATCTGTAAAGTTGAAACGTATTCTGGTGATAATGAGCTACCTGAGCCAGATAAAGAAGATGATCCTTTATCATTCTTCTTATATTTCAATAAGCTTAATAATGAACTAAGTTCATTCGCGGAAGTTGGTGGGAATGAAGAGGAAAAACAGGTACTAGCCCTAAACCCTAAACCTGAAACTTTTGAAGTACCCTAACTGTGGAATTTCAAATCGTAAAGCTCTGCCTTACCCATCACATCGAGCTAACCCACCTTTGGACCTCCATTTCTAGCCAATAATGCATTCATCCAGGCAGGCAAACACACATATTCCTTCTCGCTGGAACCTCACAAATCTGCTACACCCTTCCCTTCTTCTCTGCTGGTAACTCATATGTCCGTGGGATTCCTACTCCTACCTAATACTATTTGGGACTATTATAATTATTTTATAATTAACGCCCATTCTTGATTTTGGATTATTCTTAATAGAAGCTTTTCTAGGATTTATGCATTAATATTGGAATGAAGTACTTTTTCTCTAATTCTTGTCATTGTGTTAAAGCTGTATACTTATTTCTTATTATTTTCATGACCGTGGCCTTCATTGCTGCATGGCTGCCATTTTGCAGCCTTAATTGTCACAATTTTGCAATT